CAACAGGCCAGTGAAACTTCTATCTGGGATGAAACATTCATGTTAGGGAACTACTTATTGTGTTTTAAACTTCTGTAATGCAAAAAATATGGACAAACCACCATTAAGGGCTCAGACAGCATGACACTCAAATCAGTTCATCCCAAAGCCCACCTACGGCATTGACAGTAGAAGAAATAAGGTTGTTACAATCGAAAATTTTTCCTCTTCTTTTTTGTTTGAATAAAACCAAGACACATTACCTTTACAAAGAGGGCAATAAAAAAGTCATTAGCTTTCCTCTCTCAACCCTCAACTGTATCAACAAAGAACAGTTGTCCTYTATTTGCTATAGCCCTGACTTAGCACACCTTTTGTTTTCATGTATCTTTATTTTGACAAGTCAAAACTGGCAGCATAAAGTGATTTRCTTTCTAAATCAATTGCCCTGTGACTTCTCATAAAGAAGCATAGAAGCAGCCACAGGCTGGGTAGAGACCTCTCTGAACACTGCCTTTGGAACAGCCATTCTTTAGCTCCCAATCCTGAAACTGCCACACAGAAGAAAAAGATACAAACTCCATTTGTCCATCAACATGTTCTCTGCAGAAAAAACATCCAAGACAAACAACAACAACAAAACCAAAACCTAAACTAAGCTCTGAGTTATTCTTTGTTATTCACAATAAAAGAAAAAAGAGTGATAAATGCAATATTGAAAAAATTGCACCAGAGACCAGTGAAGGGAATGCTAATAATGTTTGTTTTTATGATGTATTCTCAGCATGTTGTTTCTTATGTCAAGGATTGAAGGTAACATTGCAGCTGTTTATAAAGCTTCTAAGCCTTTCCTTTGATGGATRTAAGAGTTTAAGAAGCCAACATGCTTTAATTCCATTAACGTGGAGTTTTAATTCAGCTCAGTGAAGTAAAACCAGCTTTTCCTGATGCTGCCAACAGCTAAACTTCGAACTTAAATGAGTTTTTGCACTCCTGTGGGATTAATTAGAAGACCAGAGATTGCTTTTTTTGGCATTAATTTTATCTCAGCTACAACCGTTTGATAATATCCAGTACTGACAGCTACTGACCCATATTGGAAGTGCCAAACYAACCAGACAGTCTCAGATGCAAACAGGAAACCTCTGGGAATAGGACATTCAACCCTGCTATGTTCAGATCACCCTCAGGTAACAAAGCCAGACATGAGATGTAACTCTGTTTTCATGCACAGGCACATGCAGTGAGGATTTCAGCGACATAACTCAATTTTCAAAATTGCATCTGTACATCTTTTGTACAAATAGAATTGCTAGGCTAAATATGTACTCAGTGGAAAACAGCAGAGAAACAAAATGAGGGTAAACTAGGCTGTCACTCTGCCTACAAATACATAGAATAAGGGCCATACTACATCTCTATTCTGATTCTCCGAAGTTATTTCACTTGCACAACTAAAGTCAACAAGGTTGGCAACTTCTCCCTCTCTTCCTGTCTCCCTTCCCCAAACAGTACTCACAAAGAAGTGTTTAGCCACATTCTGTGACTTCAGGTGTTTGAGTTATTGCAAYCCTAAACTAACAAAATTTACCAATAACGAAGAACGCAAGGTGAAGCTGTGACTCAGAGCAATACTTCAGCTCCTAAAATAAAGCTAATTATCCACCTTTGTGAGCAGTGTGCCTAAGCCAGGTAACTTATCTTCAAAGTGGTGAAACATCCACTGACTTCAAATCTACTTCCTTAAGGCTGAGGTAATTGCAGGAGATATATTTACCTTTAAAATATAGAAAACTTATTTGAGAGGAATTGTTGTTTCAGCTTGAGATACAGTATTTAAAACAGCAGAAGTAGTTTAGAATGATGTGAGGGGAACTGAAAGTAATTAGGAATGCTGTTTAAAGGAGTAAAGTGGAGAGGATGTATTTTTAAAGCAGTTCCCCACGTAAAGTTCCCATGTAGGGTAAATACAGACTTACAGTATTGTGAAGAACTCTGCATTGAAAAAAATTAGGTGGAAACAGAGTGAAAACTGTTAGAAAAAGCCTAATCCAATCCCAACTGGTTATGCTCCTTGGTCATATCTTCATCTCATATTTTGGACAGACTTTCGGGTCTTTAGAAGTGGGGTGCCTAAAT